TGAGACATCATGTGTGAACAAAGACCATGAAAAAAAGAATAGACAACAAAAATTCATGAACTAAAATCTTCATTTAAGGGTAAAATGAATACCTCCCTTCAGAATTTAAACTTAAGACAACTTACAACAGAGGGCCTGTTAGGGTAATTCAAAGTATTTGCTCCATATCCACTGGTCTTAATTCATGTTGTACTAAGGAAAATGCCCATTATAAGTATATAAATAAACCCAGGTTTACATATGTGCATAAAATCTGACACGTTCTACAAGGTTTCTGAAAAGGCATACCCATTGCTTAGTGGAATAAAAAACTCCTCCCCTGCAATTCTCCCTCAGATTCTTGTCCCTTGAGACAGAGAGAAGTCTGCACTGTGAAAACAAAAGTAAAACTGACTATACCCTTCCAACACATACATACCAAAATACCTGTGTCTCTCTTTCAGAGCGCAAATAAAACTATCGTTTGATAAAACCCTAGTGTGGCCTGCCTGCCTGTTCTACACATCTAAAAAAAACATGTAATTTTTTCAGTTTATTTCTCACCTTTGAAACAACCCTCTAATGTCAGACCACATTTTAAACCCAATAAAAATTAAATGAGAGAAAAGTAAAATTCTTTGAACGTCATTTCCGCCTACCTTAGTGCTTGCCTTTAGTCTGGGTTGAGAACCAAGCCCAGAGCATTTAAAACAAGATTTATGAATCAGGCTCTTCAGGATGAATGTTTTGCAGTGTGCCAGTGGTTAAAAATTAACTTTGACAGGTGTAGAAGGGCAAGGGGGAGAAAGAGTCATTTCTTTTCCACTCTGGGCTTGAGGGTGCAATATTAGACTTCAATTATACTACATTAATATTTCTGGATATATCCATGACATCTGAAATATGTAAATACAACCATAATGGGTTTCGTTCAAAGGCACCCTGTGTTAAATAGACTTGGTTTTACCTTGGTTGCTCTGCAGAAATCTGTTTTACCTACCTAAATATTAATTGGGTAAAGATAACACAATGATTCAAGAAAACTTGTTTAGCTTTAAACATTTTCAGTACTTTTTAGTAACAAACAGAACAAACTATCAAGAAACTTCAGAGAGCTTATTCTGTGCCCCACATTTTCCAAATCTTAGCTTCCCTCCATAAATGGGGAGAATCCTTATTTCACAGGATTGCTGGATGCATTAGATGTGTTGATGTGTGACTCTTTGGAAGTTTATACAAAAATAAATTATTTAGATAATTATTATGCTGTACCTCGTTCTCTGCTAGGAAGAGCTCAAAGGGAGAAAAAGCCTTTATCCCTGCCCTTTAGAAATGTAATTAAGTAGATTAATAGGAAAAACTATACACGGTTAAATATAAGATGACAAGGGGCTTAAAGGCATAAACATATTGAATAGGTAGACTTAATTTGCACATAAAACAGGAGGAGGACCTACTCGAGTGCAGATAAAGTGGATGGCACTGCTTGGGGCAGATACATATGGTCATCTAATTTATGCACTGTGCAGAGGCACCTGGACAAGATGGAGGAGTGGTGCTGAAATCTAGGCTGCTCCATTCACCAAGCCACATATAGAGGAAGGGCTTCATACAAAGGCACCTTCCTCCCTCCAAGCAGTGTATCCACATCAGGGTGACAACTTCCCAGAGTGTCGCTTTTAGCCCCTACAGGATCCTAGAGGCCTTAGCTCTGCTGGCTGGAAACATGGTGTCAGTAGGGAAAATGGCCTGACAGGATTCACACAACTAACAAGGATGGGTGGACTGAAGAAGTAAGACCTACCGAATAAGGCCAGCTCCCATAAGGCCTCAAAAGCTGGAACTGATGTGAGAGTAGAAATTATCAGTTCCTTAAATCTCATACCAACCCCAGAAGAGAGGCACTATCCCCGTTCCACAGTATGGAGAACAATTTGGAAAAGTGGAGTTGCTCAAAAGAGTTGAGATTCCCATCCAGATCCATTTGAGTCGGAAACCCACTGTTTTTCCCACTCCATGTCTCATGGAGTGATTTGGAGTCTTATCCTGAAAACTAGAACACTGTCTTGACGCTGTTTACTATATGTGAACCACAGGGGCTAATTTCACATATTTTTAGTTTATTACATGCTGGAAACTTGAGAGGAATTTTTGATTGGACACTAAAAGCAGTCTCATTGCTCACAAAGGTTCTGAAAACCCAGGCAGCAGGGCGTGGCAGATAGAACGGGCTGAAGTCTAGTGGGAGGCTCCTAAGCAGACTTGGTTTTGGCCTATACTGCCCGGGGAGCATAGACTGAACCCCTATTTGTGAGCCTCGGTTTCCCCATGTCCAACTTGGTAAAGTTGGATAATGCTTTCAACTCTAAAATGATGCTTCTTTGTGATACTACCACTTAAAATATTTACTGCTTTTATAAAATACCAAGCCATTATTTTGTACTTTGCAATTAATTTTGAATTTAAACTCCATGCATCAAAATACTATTTCTCCTTTCCCTATTCAAACCGTACCTATTCTTTAAGACTCATTTCAAGCCCTATTTCTTCCATAAGCCTTTTCTGTCTACTCCATTACCCTAGAAAGTCACCAAGTGCAACTCTAAAGTTGTTTTTGTACTACTCCCACCTAGCATTTAATTAGATACTATGTGCTAATGGGTCTTATTTAAATTGATACTTTGCCTCAAAAATCATTAGCTTTATCATTTCAAGTTCTACCTGGTAATAATTAAAAACGCTGTTTATCTGCCCTATAACAGAGTCTAGCTTTTTTCTCCCTTAAATATCATTCAGGTACTCATTCGTGTTCACAGCAATGTTAGCGTTCAGTGACTGACTGATGGCCATTGGCTGGAGATGGAAGGTGCTGTGCTTTCAAAGTTCTCTGGTACTAGCGCATGCTGTGGCAATGCTTAAGGACTCTAGGAAATTACTACATTTTTTTTAACCAAGCCTAAGAATAATTTCTTCAAACCAGGCTGCCCTACCAGTCATTGCACTAGACCCATTCCTGAATACAAAGATGTTCTGGATGGGGACGTTTTGTTCCTGGGGTGGGTAGTACAATGTATGCACGCATGAGAGATACTAAAACATCCATTTAATTCCAAATGGCCTATACAAATCATACAAAGTTCCTGGGAAAATGGCTCACACTACAGTTTAAAACCTAATTGGATTTAATTTTTTTGAAGAGGCCACATAAATACTGGGATGATCTAGCAAATGTTCAAGGCTTTGTCATTCTTTAGCAGAGCTGATGGAACTAATCCTCCTTAGAAACTGGCTCACCAATTGCTCAGTAGAGAAATGTAGGGTCCTTTGACATATCAAACGGCTTTCTGGGTGGCATTATGAAAATAGTGCAGATATCCATTTTTACTTTGGTGGACTTAGGCTGAAACTAACAAAGACGTTTAACCAGTTAACACCAGTCAGGCTAATGAAACGCTACCACTGATTCTACTATACCTTGTGTAGTAGAAATTTTCCAAAACTCTGTGTGATAAATACATTTATGGGTATCTGTCAAACCCTGTCTGGCTTTTGGCTTCCATGTGTCTCCTCTCTTTAGAGAGGTGGCCGCTGAAAAGACCAGGACTACCCCCACTAGTCCTCCACTGAAAGCAGGGTCCAGCTCCCCCGAGTGTCTAACATAAACCTCAATTCAAGTGCCATGTGCCACACCCCACCTCCATTCGTTTCCACTGAGTCAAAAGATAGCCTCTGAACACCAACACAGAGCTCCCAAATCCATTCACAGTGACCTGTGAACTCACACAAGATGAAGCCTTTTGGCTGCCCCCTTGACTGAAGTCCTAGACCCTACCTGTTGCCAGTCTTCTTTAACATAGTCTACCTAGAATTCTGGGGACCCCGTTAAACATTCTGCTTGCTGTGATTTGGAACATCCCATACTTGCCTTATCTACTATACCTGATACCTCTCTCACCTTTGGTACCATATTTTGGGCCTGTCCACAGAAGCCTTTCCCAATATCTGTGTCTTCAGTGGTTACCTACCCCATTCTCTATCCCACCCCCTGCAGGTAGGTTTTGAATCTAGGCCCTGACCTCTCTCAGTCTGCCCCATCCAGATGCGAGTAACCAAGCCTGGCTGTGCAATACCCAATTAAGAAAAAGCACAGCTAAATTCTCCATTGCACAATGATGAAACTGAGTCCTCATGCCTGCTCATACAAAGATAAATATGGTAATCTGCGTGGATTACCTATAATAAAGAATATATTCATGCAGTTTCATTTAAATTCCAGGCATAAATTAGGACTACAAGCAACACCTTCTACTGGTCCTAAAACTTCATATATAGGACTCTAATCTTATTCTACATGACCAGCGTTGATTGGCTAACTTTTAACTGGCATATAGCAAAATGAGGTTGTTTAGACTTTGAGCAGAAGAAAAATACATCAGTTTAAATTAAATGCATTGCTAACATGGTCTACATTTCCTGCTTTGTTAACTGGCTAACTGAACAGCAGCCTGCTTTCAAAGAAGTGTCTGGCTTGCTCGAACCTGCTGCAGTGAACACTCTGGTTTCATACTGCTCGCATTATTGAAAGTGTTTATTTTGACAGGCATTTCTCAGCATACCCACTTCCAAAAAACACATTCTAAAATACTTTCAATTATATAGTAATTATAAATCCCCTACTTTATAAGTATTAGAAAGAAAAACAAAAATGTCAACAACTAAAATAAACTCCATAAATTTCTACAACAACCTGAAGCATAAACGTTGAAGGATACAGGGAACTCTCCCCCAACTCTCACCTAAAACCAAGATAATTTAAAATCCACAAATGTTGAAACTCGGATAATAATTAATATATACACTACCACTCAGTTATTTTTTCTTTAAATCACGAGGTAACATATCACTACCAATTATAATTCTGTAAGAAGCTGGTGTTACTTCAGAGGAAGTTTATGGCCACCATTTTTTAAGGCCCTAAAAAATGAACAATGAGAGAATGTTAAATGCTCAAAAAGCATTACCTGGTGCAGGCTGTCGTTCATTCCATTCAGTTGAGATTAAAATTTCTATAACTTTTATGAGGTTTTCAATATTATCAGAGCTGCAAGAAAGAGAGTTTTATTAGAAATATTTTCCCTAAAAGCACACTCAAGTGAATGTGTATGATAGCATCTGCACATGCACCTCTGGAGTAGTACATTTAGAATACGCTTTAATGACCAATCCATTTACTCTCATCACCACAAAATACATGTTTGTCTCCTTTCACTTACCTGGATGCTGAGAATCTGAAAAGCATAGGGCTGAAAATTTCAGAGAGAACTCTTGCATTCAATAGATTTTTGCTGGACGTTTGAGAGAGCTTGAAGAAATGTTTTAACAAATACTGAAGCGTAAGCCAATACTGATGAGGTATGCTAGGTGACCTAATAAGCTTCTTCAATAGCTGAACATATTCTTCGGAGCTTTGTACTTCTACAAGTTTAAAAAAAAAAAAAAAAGAAAACAAAAGAGAAATGAATAAGAGACTATTTCTAGGTATCAGTGCATAAACACCTAGAAAAGTTCTGTTCTTCAAGCTATAGGAGTCATTTAAAAAGTTGTTGAGAGAAGCATGCTGTACATGTTCTTCTCATTAGAAAATGCATTATGAGAAAGTAGGAATCTCAGGTCAAATGAAAATGCAAGAAGTTCGGTGTGTAAAAAAAAACCACAAGTTGTTCAGGGTGTGCTGGCAGCAACCTACCCAGTATTGAGCAGCTTCAAGTGTGATTGGCTAACTCAGAGGAGAATCAGATAAGTATAACAGGTTTTAACCTTGAAGATTACGAACCACAGTTTCCTGTCCCCAGAGCACTTAACTAAGCCTTGGCTCCTAAAACTGAGCCTTCTTCCCTCAATACATTCTGTTACAGCCACTCAGGGAAGATGAAGAATATCCCCCATCACTGGATCCTAGTCCCAGTTCCCTGAATCCGACACTAGTACTTGGCACCATGGCCTTCATGATGTAGCAAACTTTGTTAAGACCAATAGCTTAACAAATGAGCCATTTCTGATTCTGACATGCAGATGGGCTTCCTAAGCAAATGAGAATCTGGGTCTTCTATTGGATGCTTGGGTGGAGGAGGAAATTTGAGGTGGTAGTGTCGGGAGGAGGGACAGGTTACTACTACTATTTTCTAACCACTATCTCTATATATGCAACACATATACAAGCACATCTACATCTCCACATATGTTCAATGAGGTTCTCAGAAGAGAAAAAACAAACCTTGAGCTAAAGAAATCATTTCACTATAAACGGCTGCTGGAATGACAGGATTTGGTAAGTCCAGGAGATAGCGTTTGAAAGCGTCTGCCAAAATGTGCACATCTATCATTTCCAAGTCCACAGAGGCCGCATCTAGGAAACATTTTAAGAAATATTTCAGACATTTATTTTATAGAATACATCAGTTGGGCCAATTTTCTGAGCATTTGACTCAAGTATGACCAAAAAAAAAAAAAAAAAAAGCAATATGATGATATAAGACACAAAGTATTTGTTAGCCAAATTTCTTATAGGGGTTGCTCCTAGCATTTGGGGTAGAACCGTTTTTCCGGTGGAGGTCTTTCCAATATATTGCAAGCATTTAGCATGCCACCTGACCCCCTGCCACTGATGCCAGTAGCAGACCTCCAGACAATGGGGCAATAAAAAATAATGCCCTTGCTGTGGGCTAAATTGGGCTGCTTCTTCAGTGGTTACCTACCCCATCCTCTATCCCACTCTAAGCCCAAACCCCTAGTGCCTCAGAAAGTGACTGCATTTAAGTTCAAACGCAGCCGTCAGAGTGGACTCTAATCCAATCTAACTGATATCCTTCTAGGAGGGGAAATGAGGACACAGAAAGTCAAATTAGGGATGCAGAGGCACAGAGGAAAAACGATGTGAGGACTCAGTGAGCAGGCGACTACCCATAGCCAAGGACAGAAGCCTCAGGAGAAACCAAACATGCCCACACCTTTATCTCAGACCCCTAGCCTCCAAAACCACAGGAAGTAAGTTTCTGCTTTTTAAGCCACGCAGTCTGTGGTAGCTTGTTGTAACTGCCCGAGGAAACAAATACAGAGCCCAAACATTTCCTACCACACTCTGAGGGGGATTCTGCCCTGACTGAGAAGGGTTCTAGCTAGGAATGGTTAGTCATATCATAAATATTTCCTAAAACCTCAACAGGAAAATTTTAAAAATGAATATTCCCAGATTTCCTAAGACTTGAGCTGATATATCTCAGAATTCATGTAAATGTCATCAACAGAGTGATGGATTCAACAGTAAGATACTACAGAATTTCACAAACCAATCTCAAGAATGTCCATGAAAATAATTTGAAGATTTTTAGAATGTTTCTCCCTGATTCTGGCTGGGTATTACTAATCTAACCTGTGGACGGACATCAGACTGTCTCAGAAAATAAGATGAGCATATCTGTCCAGCAAATCCCTCAGCTGGCAAACAGGTCAAGCAATTCAATAATGGGGGGCAATACTAATCAAAACCACCCTCCAGGCACTCCCCATGCATGGTACTCTGAGTACTTGGGTTAGAAAGACACAATGCCCAGCGTAAAGAAAGGATGCTCAGAACAAATATCTGGGGGCAGGGGTGACCACAGGCCTTTAAAAAAGGAGAGGCCTTTGGCTGCTGCTGAAGGTTGTATACTAGCACTGTGAAGGGTAACTCGAGAAAGTGATCTGGGGACTTGTGGACTCAGTGGAGAAAAGGTGGGCTGATGGGCAAGATCCTACGTTTGCAGCAGCTTTCCTAATGACAGTGTTAATAAACTAGAAAGGAGTGCTGCTACAAGTAAAAATACCAGTTTTAGTTCTCTGAATCAAGCTGATGGGGATCTGAATTCTAATGCAGTTAGAAATGTGCAAGATATTATCGAAACCTCATAAAACTCGGTGATTGCATTGGACTGTGTGGCCTAGGAGAGAATGAGGAAGTATGAAACTTTACTCCAAGGTGTTTGAGTATAAGTGAGTGAGAGAAGGTGGTACCCTAGACACCCTTGAGCAAAGTATGACAGTTCTCTAAGAATCCTTTCTGTACTGAAACTGGCCTAACGTGCTCTTCCACCAGCTATTCACACCTGCCATGTGATGACTTTTGAAGAGCTACATAATCTTTAGGACTGGGTTGGAGGAGTTTGCATTCTCTCCTGCCTCACTTTTCACTGAGTCTACTCATGACAGGTACCCAGTAAACTCTCCAACCTTTCACTTCTCCCGCCCCCCGCCTCTCTGGAGTCTTCTCTTCTTCAGGTCTCTCTCTAGGTTAGTGGTTCCCAATGGAGGTGTGATCCTGCCCTCTGCCATGAGCCATCTGGCAATTTCTGGAGACATTTCTGATTGTCACAACTTGGGGAGGATGCTGCTGGTACCTCGTGGGTAGAGGTTAGGGATGTGGCTAAGCATCCCGCCACGCATGGGGCAGGCTCCCACTCTTCCAGCAAAGAATTATCCAGCCTAAAATGTCAACGGCACCAAGGCTGAGAAAACCAGAGTCAAGTTAAAAGAAACCAAAAACCATCAGGAGAAAATCTGAATCATTAAAATTTGTATGAGACAAAGAAACAATTCATCTTGGGGCCAAATAAAAAAAGGGAAAAAAATCAAGGACTCCTGGAATCGGAAAAGATGCCACCCCAGCCACTGAAAACGGTGAAAGAAATTATTTACCTGAGGCTCAGCTTTCTTTTCTGGTGAGTTAAAGTTATTAAGGTGTACACCACAAGGTTAATGTGTGGATAAAATAGCTTAGCAGGTGCTAATAAAAGTGGGCTACTGACTGCCATGTCTGTCCTTTTCAAACGCTGGTAATTCACAAGGTTGGTTAAAGTATATATATATATATTTTTAGGTGTAAGTGACTATTTTGGAGTTTCCTCCAGGATACTATACAATATTTTTATGTATTGAAAAATCTTTGAGTTAGAAACAGCCCTGGCAGATCAATTCCAAAGTCTGGACAACATTTATGTGTGTGTGTGTGTGTGTGTGTATATATATATTTGCCACAAAATTCACTTTTTTAGCACAGACTCCAAATGAAAGCAGTTTTCTATGTGTTTTGATCTCACTGGGGAAGTAAAATGTCAAAATGTACTGTTGACGTGAATCTTGGTTGTTGACTATCTCACAAGTGGTGTGAAGAGTTTTTTTTTTAATAGTGAAACAGCATCATTCTGTGTTGGTCACATTATAAACCTAACCACTATTTCTCAGATAACTTCCACTTCATCAGACTCTGATGTTTAAACATTTCCTATGACTTACACATGTTCATAATTTGACCAATTTTCTGACCAAAACGTGTGTCTTTATTTCTATTGGCTAGGGACAAAATTCAGCGTTTTCTTAACACCCTGATAAAAGCTGTCAAAAATACAAAAAACAAGCCTTTTCACCTAGTGTGTTCTGCATGTTCACTTCTAATGTCCTCCTCTGTGGGGCGTCCAGGGGGCACAGCAGCAGACAGGGTGTGCCCTGTTCGTGTGCAACTGATCTCCATGTACAAAGGAAAAATAAAGTTAAACCTTTTTTTAAAATTTTTAAAACATTTGGTCAGAACATTTCAAGTTAAGAATTTACTGATAAAGGTCTAGTCTCCTCCTTTTCTCCAAAAGCCCTGTTTTCTAGAAAGTCTCAGAAGCTGCCTCATTTTGAAACTGCCTCATGCTTCAAACTCTCATTTACTATCATGTGGGCATTGTTTGTACAATTATACCTCCGAAGGAGTCCAAAACTAGGTTTTGCTCTTTTTGGTTTAAACAGCTAAGTTCAGTGAAAATGATGTCAGGCAGTATATAATTTAAAAAAAAAAAAAGTATTGTGAGGGAATGAAGGATCCTGAGAAGTTCTAGAAGTTAATATAAGAAGATGACTTGCTGGAAAGCTGGCAAGTACATTGATTTGTGCAGTTTTTTCTCTATACCAAAGGAGGGGGGTGGATGTGTCGGATACTAAAGCCCTCTTGGCTAAATTAATTAGTGTCATTTAACCAAACTGTCCTCAATTATTCCCAATTCCACATCCAGTGACATCATGTTGGTTAGCTTCAAACAAATCCCGGTGGGAATATTCATGCCACAAAAATGGGCAGACACTACAAACCAGGGGCTTTTTCTTCCTAGAGAGTTGGTTTATCAGCACACCACTGAACCTAACAGTATCACAATGTTACTTAATGTACTCAACACAAAAAAAGCAAGAAAGAAGGTAAGCCAGAAAGAAAGGGAAAGGGAAAAGGAAAATGGAATGGTAATAAAAGGAAAAGGATGTCAGAAGAGACATTTCTTAAGTGACACAGGCTTAAAAATATTTTTCAATTGATTCAGATGAATTAGATATAGCCAAATTCAGGGTCAAGAAAAGATGGTAGATATGCAGAGCGAGAGAGATACCAAGAGGTGGTTTCTCTCCTCTGCAGGACCCAGGGCCTGAGGGCTATGGTGATGACCAACATGCCTGCAGGCAGGCATGCACCCACTTACAAGCCCAACTCAGGAGACAAATGTCAAAGGTTTGCACTGTTACCGTAACACGGCAGGGGGAACTGTGCATGATTTCTGAGTTTCCTTTAAACTTAGAACGTTGCATAGATTTAATTCAGTTTTTCGTGTGCATTACCTGAAACAGAAAGCCAACACCTGTCTATCCCATTTGTATTTCTAGCTCTGTGACACTCACCACAATCAAGAAGCTGTCGTAATTCTGCCAGGTTGCTGGAGCTCTGTGTTCTGTATAAAGTTGAACATTCCAGACCTAGGACACAAAACAGACCATGTATGCAAAACACAGCTCTCTGGAGAACCTGTGAGCCTGTTGCCAGAGACATTCCAATTTCCATCCAGTATCTGTTCTAGATGTGTACCAAATATTCTTGGAAATCAACTCCTACTATTAATCTTATCTGGCATGTCAATGATTTTGGCAAAACCATCTGGCCTTAAATCGTACTTATTAAATTATGGAGAATTTAATAGTTTCCATACAGAAACTACATAAATCTAATCTAGATTTAGAAATTATAGACCAAGACATTTTCCCAAGTACTCAGCCCCAAACAGTTTGTGTCCAGCACAGTTATCTGCACATAGCTGGTGGTAGGAAATTTACTTAATGAATGCACAAGAGACAAATATAAATAATAACAGCCATGAAATAAGGGTATAAGGAAGGAACTGATACCCTCTAGCAGCCTGCTTACCTTTCTTTTCAATGGCTTCCACAAGCTTGATAAGAAGAGGCGGGGCGATGTCAGGAGGGGCAAACTGCTCTGTAAGATCCGGAAGAGTCAAAGCTGCAAACAACAAAATCCCACCATGGGATTTAACTTGGATAGTTGAATGCATTAGACCACAATGAAGGACATACAGAGTAATTTAATTACATCTGACCTTTGCAAACTCAGGCGAGAGCAAGAACTCCTACTCTGGGCTCTTCCCTTTCCGGGCCAAAGTGACATGCCTACTGCTTCTCACTTAGGGCCTACTCAGAGCAATGCTCCAGAATTTCTTGCTAAATGGCCTCTTATGGCCTTTCCCCCAAGTCTATCCTCCCTAGGGTGAACCCCCCTGCCAAGGTACACCCCTGGGCCCCAAAGTTGGCGGAAGGAAGGGCTGGGATGAAAGGGATGAATCAGAATCCAGCTCTCCCCATAATACCACACTCTAGGGCAGAACTCTCAGGAGCCCAAGAATCTGAATTCACATCTGTCCTCCTGGTCATTAGGAAGAAATAACTGCCCAAAAAGGATAGGTCAGATTTTATTGAACAGTTTGTTGACATAATCTATAAGAAAAATATATAGACACAGGGTACTTGGGCCTCTTTTTGCATTCTTGCCCCAAGCCTCACAAATGCCAGGTGTGGGCTGAGCATCAGATCCAGAAGCCAATATAAATGATCACTGCCCATTTGATATCAAATTAAATTTCTGTGTAACTGCTGTCAAAGCCTTTATTTGCTTATATATATTTTTGGTCAGTTAGTAATTTGAAAAATGTGGTGTTTTCATAAAGTTTTTCCATGTGTTCTACCATTTGTAACAATACCAAAAAACCTAACTGGATGACACTCATAAGTAACATTCTTCAACATTACATTGATAACCTTATTCTCAGTCCAAAAATAAATAAACCATTGTAAGCAAAAAAATTCTCAATTTATGCCAGAAGAGGGAGCTAAATATATTCATCTTAAATGTGTGAAACTGCAAAATAAAGGTAAATGAAAGTCATCATGAAAATATAAGTACAACCTGTGTACTACCCTCACTGCTTACAGTCTTTTGTAGGAATAATTTATGTAATCCAAGAAAGGCTAAATATTTGCAATTTTGTTTTTGTGAGATTTCCCCAGTATCACTCTTTATTAGAAGCCATATACTGTGGTAAACAAATTTTTCTCTTTTTTTTTTTTTTTTTGAGACAGGGTCTTGCCCTGTCACCCAGGCTGGAGTGTAGTGGCATGATCACGGCTTACTGCAGCTTCGACTTCTTGGGCCCAGGTGATTGTCCCACCTCAGCTCCTGAATAACTGGGACTACTGTGCACAGCACCACTCCCAGCTAAGTTTTGGTATTTTTACTAAAAACAGAGTTTTGTCGTATTGCCCAGGCTGGTCTTGAACTCTTGGATTCAAGCAATCCACCCACCTCAATCTCTCAAAGTGCTGGGATTACAGGCATGAGCCACTGCACGTGGCCAACAAATTTCAATTAAGCCTATATTTCAAGTACTAAAAGTCAACATAGAACATGCTATAAAAGTAATTAAATTGTGATCTCGGAGAACAAAGTATGATTAAGTTGTTTTGCAAAAACACTCTTTCAGATTGCAGTATGGAACGTGCAGTACGTAGATGGATGCATGATCTTGCCACTTAACTCTATTAGCCATAGCAACAACTCAGGATAAAAAGAGAAGAGCTAAATTATGAGGGGAAATCCTATAGCAGCACTGTCTATTAGAGTTTTCTGTGATGGAAATGTTCTACAGCTCTGCTCTCCAATAAAGCAATGACCAGCCACACTGGCTATTGAGTAAAATGCAGCCATTTTTAAAATTTTAGCTGATTTAAATGGAAATAACCATGTGCGGCTACTGCCCACAGTCTTATTTGCCTGCACAAGGGCAAATTTTGTCAATGGCAGATGAAGGATTCCCGAGTCAGCTTTGTGTTAGAGAATCCATCTAAAGCTATCCCTGAAGACAAGGCATCTGGACATAGAGCTAATCAATATTTGAACTCAAAGCCCTGCAGTGTTTACCTCTCAATTTCTTGAGTGACTCTGTCTTACTGCAACATCACTCTAACGCATTTTGGATTTCATAAAAGCATAAACAACTGGCCATGACCTTCCCAGTCACTGTGCAGAGGGCTGGGTGGGAACTTCATCTCACTCCAGTGTTTCCCACACCTGCCAGAGCTCAGCAGCACCTGAAGAACTCGCTAGAAATACTGATTCCCAGGTACCACCCTAAATCCTCAGAATTAGAACATCCAGGAATGGGCTAGTAATCTGTTTGGGGTTAATAATGTGTTCGGGGTTAGAAATAAGCTTTAGAACATATTCTATTGATAAGAAAATTCATGTGAGTGATCCCATGAAAAAGTCCTGCAATGACATGTCTCAAATCTCTGTATGTTAAAATGTAACTATATCTGAAAAGCACTTAAAATACAAACATGTTAAATGTTTCATAGTCTATTAAAAGCATTATAAAATTTTTAAATATTATAAAATGAAAGCATACCATTTCATTTCCTCTGATAAATTATAAACTACCTCTCTTTGCCTTAACATCAATTCACAAAACTATCCTCTCTCACAAACACCTTCTACACTGAACACAATGAAGTATCATCCTATCAGCATGTATAACAGAAGGGAAATATCAACGTAGGGAAATGATGTAGAAAAACATTATTAATTAAGATCCATTATTATGTCATTCCTTAGGCCTGTCAAACTAACAGGATTTAGCACACCCCAAATCTCAGAAAGCTAAAGATGAAATAGTAAATACATATCCATGCAACTCTCATGCAACCAACATGCCAATTCCTCTTCCCCTTTTCTCATAAATTACACAGGCTTTTTTAATTAAAAAAAACCTTTAATGTTGGCTCTGAAAATGGAATTACTTAATAAAGGTTTGTCTCATTCCAGTCTTATCAACACAATCATTTCTGCAGGCAAATATGAAAGTTAAATTAAATGATAATTAAAGATTTCATCTAACTGTGATTGAAATATGCACCCAACAGTTGTTATATTGCTGGGCTGGCAAATGCTCCATACAAAAGGGTTTCCAGCTCTCTCTTTTTTCACTAAGCTTGAAAAATTAAAAAAAAAAAAAAAAAAAAAAGCAAAACCTCCTTATTTTCCTTTGTCTTTTCAATGTTTCTTTGGCAAAAAGTGTTAGTTTACCTGCAGTATCCTGAGCTACAAAATATCATTTGTTTTACTTATTACTCATTCAGGTGTTGGATGAAGTTTCCAAAAAGCACTGTGCTACCAGTCAGTTACCTGTGAGAACATGAATTTTTTTCAAAATGCACACCAGATTGCTCTAAAAAAAAAAAAAAAAAGCTACACATATGTACCAGGAAGTATAAGTAATCTTTTTGTAATGTATTGAGTGACTTATCAAAAAGCCTTATCACTCAAATGTATGAATCATCACAGCTGATCAGGATTTTGCAACTGAAGTTTAAAACGGTAAGTTTTACAAGGATTTTTTTAAATAGCAATCCAAATATTTACCATTCCTTAGTACAAAACGTCTGTGAGTCAATCCATTTCCTCTTTAAAATATTTAGACATGGGGAATGTAAAAGTTCTACCCAAAAGCTTTAAAGTTTATATCAACTACTTCCAGCAATAGGATCAATTACCATCAAAAGTCTAAAAAGTATTTTCAAACAAAATATTAATTTTTATGGCAACCCTAAAATCAACTATGCCTTTAATTTTACTAAATACACAAAGTCAAGAATTACTTTTCCATTAGATTCCATTTTAAGAATTTCCAACAGGAAATGACAATTGCTAGGAATTACCAAATTTGGCAAGTTGTTCTTTGAAAAGTCCATGATAAAGTATGTTACAAAGTGTGATAAACCAAAACATAATAGAATTAAAAACAAAAAGATGCAAAAAATATCAATTATATAGGGTGGGGTATGGAGCAAACACAATTGAACAGAGCACCATCCTCCCACAGTTTACATACAAATTCTCACTGGGGTTCATCTTTTGATTTTTATACCTGAGTAAGTAATGGATTTTGGTTGTGGACCTTGCTGTAGCACAGTGTATAAGTGTGGAAAACCAAGTCCACTCTAAAGAATCCGGGCAAATTTGTTGATTCCTTTACTACAATCCAATCCTGGTTTTTCACTAGCTGAATCATTTTTCATTGAAAGAAATCAGTATTGCTTAGAAAGAAAAGGATAAAGATCAGCAAGAAGGTTTAAAAGTAGTGAATCCAAGACATGCATTACTTCAAAAGAAAGGAGGACTCAGTCTTCGATGTTGACCAGGACACCAATGAACTAGGTGTTCCAGGTTGTAGGAAGAATTTCTGGTGACACATCTGATGCTGCAGTTTCCACTAGTTCTAGTTTTCCCCCTTTGCCCTGGTGACAACCAATCCCATGGAACAGAAAAAGAGGCTTCTCTGCAAATTTCAGCCCTTCCCAAACCACTAACATGGACAGGCCTCGACAGTCATTGGGCACCAGTGGTGTGTGGGAGACAGTGGCATTCTTTGCATTAAGTGGTGCCAACACTGTTATGAAGTGCAAAATGAAACCAGCACACAGCTGCACCTTCGAGAGGCATTCTCCATAAAAAAGATATTTTGAAGTTAGTGCCTGGCAGGGCCGAGTGGAAAGTTAAGCTACAACACTGAGACTCCAGAGGTCGCCCAAGCCAAATATTTTATTACTGATGGAAGCAGCTTGGAAATGTGTGAAAAGCTGCCACATACCTCTAAAACTGTAATACAAAGAAAAGAAAATGTATATGCAAAGTATGGATCAATATTCTTTCAAGAGGTTAGTCTGTCTAACTGCTGCTGAGTCAAAACTATTTCTGTCTGAAACACTCTCAGGACTTCAAGTGAAAAAATATATATTCTGGTGGGCAAATCTAATAAATCCCAATTCTTAAATAAACCTTTTAAGCATATTCATACTTTATGCCTATAATGATTAACACCCTGAACTTTGAACTTCTTAAGCTTTATAGGCGACACTACAACAAATGATGTCCTGTGTTCTTTTACTAAG